TGAGAGCCTGTCCACCGTAGATAGGATCGACGTTCCAATACATCGACCAGTTTATTTACATTTTCTCCTGACTGCTTCCTGAAGGTTTACCATCTGAGGTACGAAAATGTCAATGTTGATGTCTGACTGTCTAATCCCAGATACCATGTTCAACCGCCAGAGAAGTTATAATTATTGCACCAGTAACAGCTACACCAGCCCTGTGTATACTGCAGTTCTGTGTTGAAAAAACGTCGTCGGTCCTATCGAAGTCGGTGCGCATCTGCGTGAAAGGTACGGAAGTGAAAGGTACGGAAGCAAAAGGCTGCACGCAATATGGTTAGAAGTTTTTGGAGTCGGCCTCTACTGTGATATAAAAATGTGTGAAAGCAGCGAAAGGATGATACAGATATGAGTGGATTCATTGGTTCAGGACGCCATGCAGTGTTGCATAGAGGAGAAATCAGGAAGGGAATACGGATTTTTCTTTTTATTATAATGATACTGGCTCCCAGGTCAGCAGAACCTATAAGTGTGCCAGGTAAAGTCATGATGTAAAGGTGGTCGGCGTAATGTAGATATCATCATCATCCATTGATTAATCTTCAAAATAAGCTACCTAGCATCATATGCTGGATGCGCCAATGGCATGAAAATAGTCACTTACTTTAAAAAAAAAAAAAACGTTATTTGTCACAGTGTCACCCGCCAATGAAACTAGTCGCCAGCAAACAGGCACAGTGTGATTTAATGCTGTGTACCTCACGTTACTGCTTGTTAATATACGGCATAAGATTAGCCTTGTGCCGTCACGCCGTGTACCAGTTAAACGTATCACATTGCAAAAAGTTCAACTATTTACGTCCTATTTTTGATTCACGAAGTGAAAACAAGACGCTGGCGTTTAGTAGGACACATGCTGGGAAAACAATATAACAAGAATGTCTTTACAGTGGAACTCGTAGGAGCACATTAAAAAAAGCATGGGAAAAAAACGGAAACGAGAGCTCTTGTGAAGGTTCCGGATGGAAAAATAAATACGCCCACTTTTGCCTAAGAAGCCTGTCGTATAAGGCTACTAATTAGGAGTGTTTCCTTCAAGTCAGAGTTTATCTGCCCGAGAATCTATGAACCAACGTCTACATACAAATAATTCAGGTCTGTAAAAGGGGCGTGCGCACAATACTCAAATTCTGGGACAAGACCAATGTCCAGGAGTGGACGAACAACCAGGACTTTCCACCGGAGTTTATAGCCGCTGAATGGAGATGAAGAATAAGAAGGTGTGGTTTGGCTCAAGACCTATGCTGCATTGGAGGATAAAGTCAGCTGGCAACGAAAGAGCCACTTTCTGGATGGCGCCCCAAATGGCAGATTCCATTCAACCTCATCGGAAGTTATAAATGAGGGCACCTGTAACGGTTACAAGTACTACACACCCGTCTTCGTGGGGTAAAGAATCACTACTATACAAGAAATGTCTGGATCAAAGTGTATTAAAATGGTTGCTGTATGGAACATGGGAAAGGGGACATTATTGTTATGCAGTAAAACACTAATTAAAAGTCACTGCCCGGACCAGGGCTGTGGCGAAATAAGCGAATAACATAAATCTGTTAATACATATTTACTTGATTTAAGTGATTTCACTACGGGTCCTGGTAGCAGACTTTTTACAGTAGAACATTTGGGAGGAAGGCGAGAGGAAGACCAAGAAAGAGATGGATAAATGGTGCAGCTGAAACCTACAAAAAGATGAACAAATCCATCACACAAGCCACACCAGAAGCGCTAGACAAATAGAAAACCACTGGGCTACAACGTGGTATCAGTGGTAATACAAAAGAATCTATCTATCTGTCTGTCTGTCTGTCTGTGTGACTGTCTGTGTGACTGTCTGTGTGTCTGTCTGTGTGTCTGTGTGTCTGTCTGTCTGTCTGTCTGTCTGTCTGTGTGTCTGTCTGTGTGTCTGCCTGTCTGTCTGTCTTCTTTTACCCCACCCTGGCTCTTGCCGGGGGCCGCAATACAGCCAGGTCATAAATATAGCCTAATGGCCGAACGCGGTTTCTGGGACCTCTCCACGGTGATCCTCACCCACGTGGTGGCACATTGTGTCATCGGGTGTTTATCGCTTGTGGGATGTCCTGGTGGGGTAGAAAGTCAGTCAGTCAGTCAGACTGTTGCACAATTTCGTCGACACTAACAGTCTCTGATTTAGTGTTGTTTAAAAATTATGACGGGTAACAGAAACTGACAGTCAAACGAGTGAAAGTGAATTGAAGTTTTACTGTAATTGGTTATTATAACAGCTGGACAGATAAAAATAATTATGTAACGTGAGACACAGAGCACACGCTGAGAGGCACATTATTAGGGAAAGCGGAGAAACAATCTCCAGACACTGAAAGGGAAACAGATTGAGGAAACTAGGACGTCAAAACCAACGTCACGAAAAAGAAAGTGCTAACTCGAAAATAAGCACTAGCATGATCTAATCCGAAAATTAACACGTATTTGGGATGGTCGTAATATAAGCCATACCTTAAATATAAGCCCTAGTTAAGATCGTCAACCAGATAGAGGGATTTTCTTTCGTCCGTCGAAAGGACAACCGGCTTACTGAATTAAAAAGTAATTAATATTTGAATAACTGAGTTAATTTATGTTTTGTTAGTTCAATAAATGCAGATTTTTGTACACGACAAACTAAGACATTTCCTGACAAAAAACTCCAAGGTGTTTTTGCAGCGACGAAACACGTCAGTCTCTAATTTTCAAAGGCAACACTGGTGGTGACAAATACCGTGTGACTTACGTGTTCAAACTCTGGTGTGTCTTCTATTCCGTTCCTGGCATCGTCTAGACAGAAACAACACTGGCCATCTAGTGCACTAATAGGGATGGCGATATTTGGAATGTCTGAGCGTTGATTAGGAAAACCCGGCTCTAAAATCAAGTTTGCATCTGTCACGCCACAGTTAAAGTTATGCAAGCTAACGGCTGTGTTAAATGATACGATGGACTCCTCGAAAGTGAAGTCGCCCGCTTTTGGGTACAATATCTCGTTCTTTGACAACAATGAATGTAAGGGTAATGCACACCGCCCTTGAACTGATGTCATACGGAGGTTGGCATTTCTAAAACGATCCTCTGAAGTTAATTTATTCACTTTGGGCGAGGTAGCCAATCCTTTTGTGGCCAAAGGAAGGAATGAGTTAATAAAATCAAACTCAGTTTTCTGATTGAAACTGAAGTCTTTAATCAGTTTGTCGAAAATGTCATCGAAGGACTTATCTTTGACCATAAGGTTATCGCCAATTTGCTGAAAATGCCTGAGACTGACGTCTTCAGTGCACATCATGACTGTAGGGACACTAGTCATGGCCGGGACATGAGACCATCCCTTGGATGTATACAAGTATTCAGAGACATCGTCATCAAAGTCTCTTGGCGGCACGGTTTTACTTCTACTACTGCCGTGTATGGCGCTTTCTGGCAAATACTGGAGTGCTGTTTCTGAGCTGGCACAAGCGTTTGTTTTGTTAATGACATGTTTTGAATACCCATTGAAATGACGATGTTTTTGTTGGTTTATTTCCCTGTGTGGTAAATCTTTAGAGATAGTGTGGCCGGGCTTAGGTCCTTTATAGCCCTCTGTAAATCCCAAAGGATAAATAGGCTGCGTTGTCTGCATCAAACCTTTGCGATTGATACTGGTTCCTCTGTTCTTAGATGTGCTTCTTCGTGGAAGTGAATGTGCCTTTCTCTGAGAAGACGTCACCAAATGTGGACTTCCTCTATAGACCTGGAAAGGTACTTCATGAATGGGAGTGTCCGGTAAAGCATCTGCTGCTAAATGATGCGTTATGGGCTTTACTGATGGCCGAGAGATTTCACCAGGTGACATCCACAAGTGATATTTTAACTTGTGCAAATTTTCCTGAAACTCATGCCGTGGTTTTATGTCACTAGTAGGCGTTGGGAAATGAAAGGAATTTGCCAATTCGTTTCTTGAAAATTTAAATGACCTCGACAGCGAATTTGCTCTTAGCCTTTCAGAGTTTAAAGAACGGGTAATAGGTAACAATGTATTCACACCTTGCAATTTCTGTGCAGTTCTAATAGATCCATCAAATGGCAAGTTTAATAGAGAACACTGACCACTTGCTGGAGAAAACCGGGATTGATGGTAGGCGAGGACAGTCTCTGGTTTGTCAATCTGTACATAGACTTTGTCTGGGATATGCACGGCCGCAGATTTGACTGAACACGTATCATAGTCCGCCACAGGTTCTGACAGATCGCTTGCATTGGGCTGCCTCCTGTGTGTCTGACTAGCTGTTGGATCAGCCAAAGTGCCAGTGCTCCAAAACCTATCTGTCGCCACGCTGTACCCAATATCACGTGGTCTGTCGTCTTCATTTATGTCGCTCGCCGGGCCTGATGGAGCCAAGGAACGGGAAGATGAATGGTCTCTGTGAGGTATATCCTGGGCGTGTTGCACATCTAACGAGATGTTATTGGTGCTGTCGGACACACCAATGGTCCCACTGTGGTATGGTTCTGAATACAAATTGTTGCTTGCAAATCTCTCAGGCATAATTTTAGAGTATGTTAACCGGCTATCAATTGATGTGAGCCGGTGGGAGTTCAACACATTACCGCCGTCGATAAATTTCGAGCTTCCAGCTGGGTACATCGGTGAGAAAGAAGCTACATTTGAGGTGGTGATAGTGTCAAAGTCTGTCTGAATTGCCGTGTCTTTCTTTGGCATTTTCGATGAGTTAATGAGAGGTAACTGTCTAGAATCAGAGCTAGCCGAAGACAGCAGTCGTGACGTCCGAGACTGTTGGCGTCTATTGTTACTAGTGACGTTACTGGTGCACGGTACAGTAGCTCTAACAACATGCCCTACGTCGGTCTCATGGATAGTTCTATCAGAGGTGGAACCTACCACTGGAGATTCCAGCTGTTCCAACTCTACAGCACTTCTGGGGTAGATATCAGCAGTCATACGCTTCTCATAAGTTCTATCTCTTCCACTATGAAGAGAAGAGATATTCTTCTTTTTCCAGTCAGACGGACCATCTAAATAATCAGTAATGACGGAGCAAGAATCCAAAGTTGTAAAGCCATTCTGTTCATCCTTCTTTCTATCACTTTTAGCATAGCCAGGAACCGGAAATTGTGGTAACCCCGTAGTTCTCTTATCAGTCGTAGTCTGGTTCGGGCTTTTGAAAAACTCCAGATGCTCCACATCTTCTAGCGTGTCTCCTGTGTGATCTACTTGTCGCTGGAAGTTTCCTGACGTAGGGATGCTGGCCAGAGACATGCTCATGGCATCCAAGTACCTTCTCATGGTGGCAAGGTTTAGGTTTGTGTTCCCCAGAATCTGATCCAAGTGACCAGGAGTAGCAGAGCGTGGGAAACCCGAAACGGGATTAGGATCAGAAGAAAGAGTAAAATTGTTGTCCATAATTCTCTGATGAGGGGCAATCCTGTTTTCATTATGTTGACGTTTCGGTTCATGTTTCTTATTGTTTGAAGATGTATTCTGGTATCGCATCTGTTGATCTGACGTGTTTATAGATGTGCTTTTGTCTGAGTAACTATCTCTACTTTCTTTCTCTCTAGCCTTTAGATCATCTGTGTAGTTTGATGACCTCTCTTTCATAGATCGTCGGTTGCCCGCCTTGCTTTCTGCAGACAGGTGACTACGTACATCCGATTTATATAACTTGCTTCTATGAGATTTGTGCGTATGTAAGGGAACTGATTTTCTCAAGTTGTTGTTATGTTGCTTATGTTGTCTGAAAGTGTCACTTTTTGTCTGGTCTAGCATTCGTGCTTTTGTTTTGATCTTTCCTTTAGTTGCGCGTTCCACAACTTCTTCTTCTGAAGTATCGTCACCAGATGTAATAGCAGTCACGCCTAAATCGCCATGTCCCGGAACACGACTGGTGCCACTGTCACATCTCCAACTGGGATATGTCCAATAATTATCACTATAAGGATAATATCCAGCCCAGTTTTGATAGTATACTCTACCATCGTCACCCAAATATGCACACTGACCGTTACTATTTGCAGGATCCGGTGCCGTGTTCCAGTCTGTAAGGTTACCCTGGTAAAAAGGTTGTGTATAGAACTGACTCATGGAATCTAAACTGCCATACCTCGGCAACATATCTGTCTGATGGTGTCTCTTGTGTTTCTGGTTTGTCTTTCTATGACCTGTGCTTTCTTGACTGGTCCGGCTACTGTCGGCACTGGCTGTTCCGGGGACAGTATCTAACAACGTGGACAGAACATGTCTATCTGTGGGGCCATGACCCTTAAGTTCACCATCTCTTGGATCAGACGAGGGTAAATGCTTATACCTTTTATCACTGTCTCTATAAATCGTGTCTAATTTATCTTTTATCTGTGTCGTCAATTTTGTTGGCTTTACTTTCTTCACAGATCTATCTTCCAATATGTTGTAGTCGCTTCCATGACTTTCTGTAGATGCTGACTGCTTATGAGACTTCGCTGAGTCAATTATATTCTTTGGTCTAGCCGCCTTGCTGTATTTTCCAGTCTTGAAATCACCAGATGTAACCGAAGCTTTGTCTCGAGAAGATGTTCCATCTGACCGATGATGACCTCGAACATAATAGACTTCAGCGGAAGGCTGTTTGCGCTGATTAATTTCTGTATCCGATAACGGGTGATCCCATAATCTGCCTTTCACTTTTGGATGTCTTATTTCTTTACCCATGATAACGAAAGGTGTGTTCACAAAACTCGGTAACCCATCGCCGGTGTAATAAGACGTGGGTATGTGCTCGTACTGTTTAGGCACGGGTACTCCTGACCTATCAAGTCTGAACTCGGAGCCGTAGACGTTGCTGGCAACATCATGTGGAGAACTGACGACTCTAGCTGTGATATGATTCTTATTGGGAGAGACAGATATCTGTGTGAGTGCGCCTGTCTCTTCCTCTATCTGGTAGGTGATAATAGCCTTCGAGTCCTCCACACAGCTGTCATGAGGCTGCAAGCGATGTTTCACCGTTACGTCTCTCCTTGTCTCCATCTCTGAATCTATTGTTTTATTTGAATCAGCCAAACGTTGTGGTTACCGTGATTTTACGACTGTCCACGTTTAAATAATAACTTATAAGTAAAACGTTTCTGGTACACACCCGTGTCAAACATAAACTTTAGAACTGTTTTGCTTAGACGACATTATTTTGTAGTTGACTTTGAAAAGCATCATTAGTCAACATTATTTTGGAGGCAGAACTTTTTTCTTATGAAGACCTTTATGACTAAGATAGGTTTCATTGAAATCTGAGCACCACACTCATTGGTACAGAGACGGCGAAAACTAGATATAAGCGTTGTTTCCCCATCTAATGGTGGTTTATAAGGTGCCAATGACGATTAACATATGCTCCAGGGTTTAAAAAATACACTACCCTTTTATGCATGATTGATTCACTCATATTACTATGAAATAAAAGTCGACGTGGAGTCCATGAGTATTGACCAGTTTGTATTTGAGAATGTGCCTCTCGTCCAAGAGAGACCATAGCCTGTCCGGTCGGTAAATATGCTACAAGGGCTCGTGGTCACTTTGATTCAATCAAGTGAACTCAACAAGATCTTCCCGCTGATAGTTCCACTTGAAAATGTCACCGATAACACATAAATGATTGGGCTCTTGCAAGTTTCACTAGAAAATGTCACAGATTTCCAAATAAATGATTAGTGCTGCCGATAGTTACACAAGAAAGTGTCGCAAATTACACATATGCGATCTATCGCGTGTATAGTTCCAAGTAAAATGTCACAAATTACGCATTCAAATTCCTAGTTAAAGAAGCGACATTGCTCTATAATATTAAATTCAATGTCCTGGCAAACATAAACACGTTGCCATTTGCATAGGAATTCTGTCAACAAAACTTATTATACAGGCCAGCATGGAAATCTCTGTATTCCCATCACATACTAGTTTTAACAACTGCCCTGTCTTTAGCAAAGCCCCTACATGAACGAAAACGCAGTGTCAGTGTAGGGATGTCTCTGGGTCGGGCATCTACAGCTGTCTCCGACACATCATTGTCTGCCAGGCTGTAGGTTGCTGGTGATGCATGGGCGCAGTAAATATCCCCGAGCATAGACGCCTCCTCTGCAAACGTTTTGGTGGCTAGCAGCCATCTTCTACATAAACAAATTTCGACAAGACAATTCATCAAAGGATGACAACCGACTTCATATGTTACTGTCAGCTTGAAATGTTTTTGCCTTGAAAACACGGGCGGCAGAGATCAAGACAACACACCACCTATCTGGCTACCTACCTATACATTCATACTTCTATATCCAACATCAAGCCAACTAATTATCGATCCATTAAACTATTTTCATCTATTTAGCATATATCCAATCACCCACATACCTATTTATTTATCAGCCAACCTATCATCCTACTTCTCCAGGCAACTGTTAGCCTGTCATCCATTTCCAGTCCGAAAATCCCAGCTACCATTCACGACTGGTCCCAAAATCCGTTGTCTATTCTGCACTCTCAGCAAATGTTCACTATATCACGCCAACGGCAGTGTCCACCCTTGCGATACTATCTATAAATGCACCCTGTTCCCAAAAAGAAAACTGTACTTGCTGTGCTGTCTCTCAGTATTGTACACGCGTTTCTGATATTATACACTGGAACTGAGGAAAGTATTCCTTTATATTCGTTTAGTATTCAGTCTTAGCTTATTTCATAGCCAAGTGGACATAGAGAATGGATATATATATATATATATATATATATATATATATATATATATATATATATATATATATATATATATATATATATATATATATATATATATATATATAAGAAGACTGCGCAAATCACAAAGAGAAGATCACACTAGACGACAGACAACCAGAGCACTGGACTCGCAGCACATTTTGGTTCATTGGGAGTAATGTAACTCTAGTTCTCAATGCCGGATGGCATTGTTCATCATATCTGTCCACAGACTTCTGTCTCGAGTACTGTATATCATTTATGTCATAGGTGTTCTTCCATATCATGATGCCCACTGTCAACACCCCCTCTTCTGGTCTTTCCCTGTTTCCCCTTCGTTTCAATTATCTTGCTGCTACAACGTACTCTAATGATCCCTTTCACATGACATACCTAAGGAATGTTGATTATGTCCTGTGTCTGATGCCAGTAACTATCTCCCTGGGTTATTTAATTTTTCTTAAGACATTTTATTTTGCCGTCTATCTGTAAATCGTGTAAGAAAATTCTTGGATAAGATAAAACATCTATAATCTTCAGATAATTCCTAAAATCTTCTGAATGGATATTAGTTACTTATGTGCACCAGGACTGGCGTCTGTTTAACTCTTTACAATTGTCTTTCTCGTCTCATGTGAGCAAAAAAGTATGACACAGCATTATTTTTATCATATGAAATGCTGATTTTGCCTGGGTTACTTCGTACTAACTTCTCACATATGTCTTCAAAAGAGCCCAGTGGTCTCGAGGCGTAGCGTCCATCTCGATGCACTGCGCTGGGATTCTTCAGACTCAGGCTTGAGTTAGAAGTAGAACGGTGCACTTATGGGTTACACCCGTGAGCCATGATGTTGATCCGTTGAATAAACACGAAAATATGACTTCAAAATCTCTGTTATCGGGCGATCCAAAGTATGCACATTAATAATAAACGTGTTCAGGTAAATGAAAGACTTCTGCCTCCCCTCTTTCAGTCACGGCGGATTTCGTAGCAGATCGCTCAAGAGGAACAATAATAATCAGATATACGCATGATTGCATGACATCGAGTGAGGCGATTCCTACACACTTTGCACAGGCCAAATTATGTGTTGTAAGTTGGAATAAACGGTCAGATATCTTTAGTATGCTGACATCATGCGTGCGAGAATAATAACATAATATGAATGGCTTGGTACCTAGAGTAACGTGGCATAAATAATAACAAGTATAGATTGGTACCTAGAGCCACAGATGACGAGAGAAGCAGGAGGTGTTGGACTGGATTCCATCCATGAAATCAAAATGATTGCACAAGAAATGGAGAAATAGACTGCAACATATTATAGGACAACAGGACAATGCATGGGAAAGGGGGGGGGGGGGGTGGGATTGAGACAAGAATTATAAGTATGTAGAAGATGGCTTCATTCATTTTACGTTTAGTAATTTGCCACTGCTGCTGGACGGTCGCCTCCCAACACCACTGTCGAAGTCAATGAAAAGCGGTCCGCTGCCAAATCGCATGCAGCTTAATCGAGCCGGGTATTTCGAAATTACGAAGCGCGTTTGGGACGTCTTAGCCACAGACGCTGACAATGTGAATAAATGAGTAACAAAATATGGATGCAAGAAAGTAGGTGAGGGAGAGATGATAATCCCCAGGTATGATCCTAGGGAGACATCAAGGGCCCATCCGAGGTCATAAATTAGAAGGGAGGAGACAGAGGTACGTAATGATGTTGGGCTCTAGTTAGCTGGATTTAGCCGTTCTAACTCTACCATGTAAAACAAGTACGGTGCGCTAATACTACAAGTGTCGTCTGACGTGACATGATGCATGCTGGGGCCGTGCATACACTTTAAGGAGCGTGCATCTGAAACCCGTTAAACTGGCTTTATTACAAAAGCACGAAAGGAACATTAACAGGTGTGGCAGAGAAACAAAGAATTTATTTTGAATGAAGTGTATGCTTTGGTTGGTCAGAAAAAAAGTCGCTTCAGCTATTCAGCCAAGTATCCCATTGCTTGAGTAGGCGAATGACGTCCGCATGAAGTGATTTTGGTTGTTCATTAAACCAAGCGTTTACCGTGTTTATTACATCTGCATCTGTGTGAAATCTGGGTACCTTGAGAGCTTTTTTTTAAGGGTTCGAAACATTCGAAAATCACTTTGGGGACAAATTAGGACTATAAACTGGATGCTGAAGAATTTCTCACTTTTTCCATGCTCACGGTTCCTGTACAATCTTCTCTGTAACACAGCAAGTGGTTCAGATACTATCCTTTGCGTTCATCCTTTCTGGGGTCCGTCAACATCCATGATACCCACCGTGAATACACATACCGATATTGCAGTTTGTGTTAAGAACAACCGTCTGACGTGTCCCAACTGACACAGTGAATTCTTTCGCTAGCGAAGCTAGGCTTTGACAACGGTTTACGTGTATCGCTGCCTCAACCTCGGCAATTTTTTTTTTTTTTTTGTCCACCAGTATGCGATTGGCCTCACTGTGGAAGATCTGTTTTTAACTCATGTCTTTTCTGATACATCTGTCAAATGAATGAAACAGAATCTGAACTCTTCGAGTTTCTTTGGACGAATTTCGGATCAACAAGGACTTCTCTCAACAGTCAGAAACAGAATTCAGGCATCGTGGAATGATACGCACGTGCTTTTTTTTTTTAATTTTATGGTCTGCATCTATCAAATGTCTATGATATGATCATGTTCAACTACGTGCAGGGCGACACACGAACGGGTTTTTAAACTAATGTTTCTAATAGTATTGGCCCGGCTCTCTAGCGTAGTTGGCTAAACGGATTGCGCGGTGCCCTGGTGGCGAACTCCTTGTGGTCCGGGTTCACTCCCGGGGGTAGGCAGAGAAGCTACATTTCTCCCAGATTTACGGTATTTACAATGGAATCAAGGCCGAAAGGTTGCGATATCCATAATACCGAGCCTAAGGGTTAACAACTCCTGGCTTCTGGATAATAAAACAAAGAAATAGTTTTGTTTTTCAAAGAAAACAATGTCTCAGCTGAGATGGTTGAGCGGTGAATCCTAATGAACGTTTTATTTTTTTACTAAGAGTGGAATGCGAGTCGCACCGGGGAAGAGACTGGTATCTTACCACGTAAGATTCCCAAAGACAGCAGTGGACGCAATGCAGCCAAGCTATTTTGTGGAAAAGGCACACAATTTTAAATGCATTCTGTATTCTAAAGTAGAAATGAGACTTGCAGACTTAAGCAATAACTTTGGTTTTGTGCGCAGTCCCATGCAGTAGATTTTCTCATTATGATGCAAGCTCTAGAAATATATATATATATATATATATATATATATATATATATATATATATATATATATATATATATATATATATATATATATATATATATATATATATATATATATATATATATATATATATATATGCCGCCGATAATAGCTCCGCGCCATCAGATCAAAAGTTCAAATTATATTTTGATTTCGCTGCTTATGCAGCCCCTGTATGATGCCGCCTGATGCAGCTGCTTCTCTGTATCATAGCAGGGCAGGGCCCTGTTTGTGCATTTTATGGAAAACAAACAGTTAACAGATAAGAGGCGCATACAAGGGAAAGAGGAAGTGCGAATATGAAACAGACTACTATTCATGAGCCTTTTGCTCCTGTCATGTAACAAGAAGACGACTGGCATATACAAATCCCTTTCCTACACACTGAATACCGCATTTCCATGGTGTTGCCGTTTTCTATCAACGATAAGCAAGGCTCGAGGGATTGTCACAAATAAAGTCAACACAGATAATCGCAATCGTATTCCATGTATGCACATGATGTAGGTATGCTGGTCTCTTTCTGCCCCCAACCCCCTTTCCCCCTCCCCCTGAAAACAATAAAGCCGGCTATACCTACAAAACAAAAGAACATTATTTTATTTATTTAACGCTGTTATCTACAATGGCTTACATAAATTCGCCTTCCCAGAACCTGATGTAGATGGTACACTGTTGATTCTACAAATTCCTACTAGTATATAAGATTTGCGAAACAGCATTACCAGTCTGTGGCATAATATCAGAAAAAAAAGTACAAGTTTATTGTGTTTGTGTGTGCGTGCGTGCGTGCGTGTGTGCGTGTGTGTGTGTGTGTGTGTGTGTGTGTGAGAGAGAGAGAGAGAGAGAGAGAGAGAGAGAATATTTTTAGAATACCGTGGATCAGGTAGAATTACCGATTTACTGTTTTTCCCTCTGCCACGCGGGCACTTGAGTTACTCACTAGATGGCGAACAAACATGACAAATGCCAGTTTAACATCCATGGAAGTTAAAAATAGGACACCTGTAACGGCTACACCCTAGTTAACCTATAGTCATGTGTGGGTAAGATATTAAACAGAACAAAAAAGTAGATCACTGAGCTATAATAAACTCAAACAAAAGTGAACGTTGCGGCTACAACGCCTTCATCAGCACATACATTAATGTGTGGGTAAGGTATGATAAAGAAGAATTGTTGTTGTCCTCATCACCCTTTCATCTTTCCTGACGACTGTATTATCTTGTGCTACAGTGAGCCATGGGTATCATAGCACTTGACGATGGCGACGTAACTGGCCAGACCCCGCATGCGTTCGTTAAGAAGTCTTCCAGAAGTAGTATGGGCTTAGGGGGACCACGGTTGCCCTAGCATGTAATTAATGTACTTCATCTCAGCCACTCAGCACTTAAGGTATTTGCAATGTTCTGTATCCCTATTCCCTTCCTGATTTTCCCTATTCCACACTGTACGGTCCATGTCACCCTGTCCCCATGAGGCCACATCAATACATGTATTATTCATGTCCCGCTTGCACACATCTTTATATCATAATAGAGACCGACCTCAACACTTTCTACTTAGAGTATATGTAATTCACCATATAAGAAGTCTCTTACAAATTTTCTAGGCAACAATGAAGGCCTGCAGACCCATTGAGCCTCCTACCTTCCAGTTTCAGAGCTGCCCCAACTCTTAAATACTTGACTGACTGACTGACTTTGTACCCCACCAGGACATCACATAAGCGATAAACACCCAATGACAAAATGTGCCACCATGTGGGTGAGGATCACCGTGGAGAGGTCCCAGAAACCGCGTTTAGCCTTTAGGCCGTATTAATGGCCAGGCTATATAGCGGCCCCTGGCAAGAGCTAGAGTAGGCCTTCAAATAACGAAAAATGTCATCCTAATTAGAATGAGAAGATGTGTATTCAATACTTTGGGAATGGGGACAAGAGGCTCCTTTTACCATGTAAAGAAATTCTTATTAAACATATCTGTTTATGGACTTCATATTATTTCAAATATAATTATTTGCCATTCAACACACTATTATAATTATTAATGTGCTGAATAGCAGATATATTTAATGGTATACTTGAAATAACATTAAATGTATAGACAAAAGCTGTTAGGATTTCTAGACATGGTTACAGGGGGCATCTTAGAAAAACAAACAATTGTGCAAGCTAGGACCTAAGCCTCTAAGTTCCGGTAACTATTCCCTCAACATTCCAAGAGTGGTACAGTACTCAATTTATGAGGCTAGAGCAATACTGGCAAGAAAAAATCCCAATAAAGTAATTAACAAATCCTTAAAGGGTTCAATATACTCTATGTGTTCAAAAGAAAAGGACATCAGGGAAAAATGGGTTTATATGCAGAACATGATCAGAGACAGCAGATATCTTGCTTGTTTCAATATGTTCTAAAATGGCCACTTTGTTTATGTCGACCTGTTTGGCAGGTAGCTGATGTGTTCTTGTCACCCTGATTTATGACTGAACCTGATAACATCAACATTTTCTTACTGGAGTGTTGTACTGTAGTGTATATGTGGTTTACAGCTTGCAAAACATGAACAAGCACGCACGCACACACTCAAGTTTTTTTTTTTTTAGAACAAAGGCCACTACAAAGTGTCTATTACAGTAATTAAGGAGTTGAGGGGGGGGGGGGGGGGGGGGGGGGAGGGGGGGGGGGGGGGGCAGTTCTGCATGCAAAAGATAAACTTCTTCATATTACATACATGCTATTGTCTAATTGTTGAGTTTTATTTACTGTGTTTCTGCACTTTCAACAAGTCTTGTAGAATGGTGTTTATTACAGGGCAAAGATACATCTTTTTCTTGGTGTAATTACAACACCATCTTGAAACAACAAGATATATTATCTTTCTTAGTGTAATTACAAGATTGTTTTGACAACGGCGTGCTGCTGTCTGACGGAAATCATGACTAATGCTTGTGAAACGGACCTAAACAAATACTAACTGAAGTTGGGCGTCTGGGTCACTGAGTGAGTGAAGGTTTCTTCAGACAAAAACAAAATGACTCATTGAGATGGTTATTGTTATTGCGTATCCTTTACAGGACGCTGCAGAACCAACCCCAACAGCCCCTGGCTGTTGTGTGGTTTTTCTAGGCAAATTTACGTCCAGTAGTTTGCCATTGCTTTCTGGACAGTCGGCTTTCTTGATACAACTGTCGAAACCAACCAAGGCCATTGAGATGGAGTTATTTCAAATTTACCTGACAAGCTGGAGGACACAGACTTGCTGCTTTTAAGGGAATCACTGAATCTTTCAGTCCCAGCTTTCTCAGCAGATACTCAACAACCATTATGACAAATTACCAATGTAGTATTATCAAAGAAAAAGTGGCCACTGCAAGCCAGATTTCTTTAGCATGGTCTGACCAAATATGTTGGCACCTTTCCAGACAATAGTGTTATATTGTTCTAAAAGGAGATATGGGACTCACAACCCATGACAATGGCAAGTGTGACTAGCAACATCCGCCCACATTAAGAAGTCCTCTACAATTATAGCAAGGGATTTCAGGACCATTGTTGCCATTATTTATCTTTAGTGGGGTTGCTTTTTTTTTTAAAGACACCCAGCTCTCATTCTTTCTGCAATCATTTCCTCCTCCATTCTTTTCCCCTTCTGATGTGCACCCTCCAAGTGACACAGTCTGTGAAATTTTGTTCTCACGAATTCACATCAGTGCCTGTATTATTCATGTTTTGCTTGCAGACATCTTTATATCATAGTAAAGGTCAGCCTCGACATCTTCTACCTGTCTGTAATTCACCATAAAGGACGTCCTTAGGGACTCTACCATCCTCTATTCTCCAGGTGTGACCCAGCCATGACCAAATATATAAAGTAAGAAAACACATTTGTTGACAGAATTTCCCAGAATTCAATTTGGGAGGGGAAAAAAAGAACAGCATGTCATAAAAGACAACTAATTAGGGGTTTGCATAAATCTGGACTGCACAAAAAGTTGCAGTTATCACTGCCTTATTGTAAATTGTTCACAACACAACATACCAACCGAACAGCGCTTTTAAAGGTAAATGCAAAAGAAAAAGAAAGAGAGAAATGAACCAAACATCTTAGCTTGCAATTTAATTATCAAGCTGTTATTGTTATCTGTATTTACCACTATTGCAGTGAAGGTAATGAGCCTGAGGATTTAGGATTGCATGGTTAGTGCAGTCACCAAGGACTAGGTAGGTTAGGATTATATTTTTGTCTCCAACAACAACAAAAACTGAACTTACTGAGGATTTGTTAGCTGGTTATTCCACATTTATAATTAAAAGAGTAAATATAAAGGTTTAAGTAAAACAAAACAAAACAAAAAGAAGAAATATCTAACTCTATTTCGCCCAGCATGCTAACACAGTTTACCTTGGTGGCTCCAATCTGGTACATGTCTTTATTCTCGACACCCTGGGTCTTCAGGATGAGAGTGCACACATCCCATGGCACCTGGCCAGTGTTGATGACTTGGCCTTTCAGTAGGCAGTGGTACCTGGGACAGGTCACAAACAAACCATAAAACATATGAACGAAACAAAGTAAGAAGTCTTTTGGTTATTGTTTCAAGCCAAATGTCCCTCTATTCAATTTTCAGTCTAACATTAGGGGTGTCTAGTATGCAGTGTGAAGTGCTGGCTAAATGGTTACGTATGCTGGTCTCTCAATAAGGAGACCCAGGTTCAAATCCTTGTTAAGGTAATGAATATTTTCTGTCAGGGATAGGGATAAACAAAGTCCTAACATGCACAGTAACGACTGCACTAGCCATGTGGCTCTAAATCCTGAGACTTAAGACCCCCTGTTCCTACACTGCCCCAAAAAAGTAATAAATTCAGGCGGAATAAAAAGTTGTTTTCTCTTTCTTATTAATAGCCTGATAGTGCACTTGTTATTTCAGCCAGATGCTGTCATCATTTGAAGCCATCAGGTTTGAATTCTGGTGTTGCTGTTGCAGCTGTTGATTCTGACAATTGTTAGCCATGTCCTTTGGAATCAGTGTAATGTGGTTGCTGGTAAGCTTCACTGCCAGCCCAGTTGTCTGGCGTTCAAATCTATGTAGTTTTTTTTTTTTTTTACCTTGGTTGTCATGTTGACCCAGTTTAAAGCAGATAAAAGGAAATGTTATGGGAATTAAATGCTACCTTTGCGATACTGACAACATCTCCTACTGAGTACTCATTGGTCAATACAAATATTGGGCTAGAACCATAGACACTAGACCTTGTGGCATGGAAAACGAGTCCATTACTATCTACTAAAGTAGTCTCTAATCAATATTTGCTTCTTCCATTTCTAAGAGCAATAATTAATGTATGTGGATTTACTTCCAATGCAGTCCCAAATCAACACTATCTCCACCAATCACATTTGAAATTCCTAAATATACATTTAATTATTTTGCATGCACTTAAAAAACAAATATTGTATCAATATTAGTTCTCTAATTTGTTTTGAGACAGAGAAAGTGGACAGAGGCATAGAAAATATGTGTGTGAGTCTGCGCGTGCATGTGTGTGTGTGTGTGTTATGAGTTATGATTTGGGTTATCTTCACGGCACTCCATAGATGCTCAGTGTCCCCCTTTAACATAAAAATCAGCGTCCCGTGGCTGAAGGTCCCAGTCCTGTGTTGGTTGACAAGACTTCTCCTGCGTCCAGTGTGCTTCTAGTGCCTATCTTAACTTCAATTCTTGCACTCTTGGCACAGATGTGGATGTGCTGTTCCCAAATTCCTCCAAACGTCCTACCTCTCTAATGGTGTTAACAATGTTGTCATGATCCATGGGCCAGCCCTCTGTAACTAAAAAAAGCAGAGCCGGTTAATCTGTCAGCTCTTTCATTGCCAACAACAGTCGCATGACCTGGGATAAAGGTAACTCTATGCACAGTGGAGTTTTGCAATGATTCGATCCACTGTCTGCGCACTAAGCCCGCCTTGACCTGCCGGATCATACTCATGAAATCACTCAGCATGCGTGCGTGTGCGTGCGTGCATTTGTATGTGTGTAAGAGACAGAGGGAATAATAAAATGATAGGGAGACTGCAACAGGAACTAAAACCAAGTGTATTCAAAAGTACCTCTCAATGAAGTGTGGGAGTTTGATCCTGACAGGGTAGCCCATCTTCCTGATGCGGATTGTTTCCAGCATGCCAGTGTACCTGAGCTGGTCAGACACAACAATCTCCTCAAACACCATGGGAGCTTTACTAGCATTTGGCTTGATGCATCTCACGAAGAAAGGGTTGCACCTGAAGTAGAGGAAGAGCAGCATTAACTAGGATATAACAGTGGCATCCTTTGATCCTGAAATGTGGACAATGAATCACATTATGAAAAACATATACAGGCATCATCGGCTCTGTGGCTAAGTCGATGCGAACGCTTCGTAATGCCGGGATGCCGGGTTCGATCCCAGCTGCGGGCCATGCGCCTTGCGTTGGTTTTGACAGTGGTATCAAGAAAGCTGACCGTCCCGGAGTAATTTGCCTAGAAAAACCACACAACAGCCAGGGGCTGTTAAGGTTGGTTCTGCAACGTCCTGTAAAGGATACGGAACTAACCATGTTATGGTGACCTCCAACCAAAGCATTATTTTTGTTGCTATATCATAAATTCAGTGAATATGTGTTTCCTGATGGGTTCGGGCAACCCCTGTGAAATGGTAGTTTTACATACCCCCCCCCCCCCCCCCCCCCCCCCCCCCCCCCCCCCCCCACCCCCCCCCCCCACCCCCAAGAGGACACGACCCACAGATTGAGAATTGCTGCATCAGAGTGTGGTGTTATCAAGAAATGGACAGAACAAGATGGACTGGAACACTAAAAAATAAACAAGTTCTAGAAAGCAGTGTTTTTCTCAAAGTATTTTTGTGTAATTTTGGTTTTTATGTGTTCAATGTAAAAATACACATTAGTGAGGATATGTGTCACAATTTATATTTTTCTACTTGTAGTTACCTGAAGTGGCATTAAAATTAAATGATGTGCCTTCTCCACAATAAAGGTTGGCTACAGTCTTTAAGAATATTACAAGATGATGCTCCAATCCCTTCCACTATACAACTCTCGTAGTATCACTGTCCAAAAAACTGAGTTTTTTTTTTTTTTTAAATTAGCTGTCTACCATGGAAATCCCTACCCTAGTACTCTAGGATCATGAAACTGTTAAAAGCGTTCACTAACCTCTAAACCACAGAGCCTCTTAAAATTCCATAGATATTCCCTATAAAACTGTCACAGGTCTTTTTCTACACTTCTACTCTCATTGGAGCATAGGCCCTCAACCAACTCATGTCAAAGCTTTATTATACTTGTTTATGACTGACTAGATTTTGCAGCTAATGTTATATGTATTGGTTGAGGATGCAACTGTCATGCCAACTTTCCTTGGTAACATACAGGTGCATAGATCTGTTTGGTGATGAGAGACTGTGTTCACAGTTGGTGCAAAAGATACTCCCAGATGATCACACTCCAAAAACATCAATCTCTGCAGGATGTGTTGCAAGAACATGTCACCAAATATCACTGCAAGCAGGGTTTTTTTTTCAGACAAAAAATTGTATCAGTACTCACCCAAATTTATCCAAAAAGGTTGCTAGTAATTACCACAAAGTATCTTCTACAGTAGCACTGAAAAAAAAAAAAAAACAAGGCCTAAAAAAGTTGCCAGCACTGTGTATCATACTGCCAGAAAAAACCCAGGCTAGAAGACATCTGTGCTGGCTTTTAAAAATGGGTATAGAACACTTAAAGGAATGTCCCCAGGACCATGATATAAATTCTTCTCAACTCAACATACCTCAGAAGAAGACTTAAAAAAAGAAAAAGCAACTGAGCTTATTAAAACTGCTTCAGTAATGGTAGCTGCCAACTCACCTGGACATGGTGTCAATGAGAGACAGGAGGGATTCGTTGAAACTGGCAGCAACAGTTGTGGTTCTAGGTCTCTTTGTCACAAGGTGACCAGTGGTCTTACTCAGTGTTTTTGTGATCAGCCTATCTCTGTGGTCTTTGAACATCTGGGATATCATCTGTGGACACAGAAAAAAAAATTTGTTTGTTGAACTTTATCTGAAAGTTCTAACAGCAAGAATCCACTTATAGTAAAATACCAAACAGTAAACTGGTTTGTCTGAAGACATTTATGAATAAACTCTGATGAAAGATATGATGGAAGATCAGATGGAAGATGACATTTTGTGTGTGGCACTTTGCATGAATCTGGAATTCAGTTTGGATAAAGCAAGAAAGCACATTTAAGAGGAACAGTATAACATATGTAAAACAGCGTGCTATTGGAGGAGGGGAAGAGACAACATTAACACTTTACGACATTTACTTTAGGAGATGGAGCATCTATAGGTATGCCTGTATGCTATAATGTTGATTCTTACATTGGTGAACAGTCTAAAGGTTAGTAGACTCAACAAATACCCAACCCCCAAACATATCATGTTTTTTATTTTACCCATTCATTGTAGACTGATGCCAGTGAGGATTACTTTGTCTTAGGTAAACCCTCAGGTGGGACAGGAGGCCACTGCTTAGACCAGGCAGAACACAGAAAAGTCTGTCATAATAAGGGGAGATTACATCTCCATTATCCATAATCCCATCAATGGGATTTTCAGGAAAAGTAATAAAAAAAATTTGTCATTTATCTGGCAATTTATACTTGGAAAATGCAAAAGCATGTGAATGGTTTGCTTAAAAGCATGTGAATGGTTTATTTAAAGCATGTGAATGGTTTGCTTAAACCCCAACTGTATGTATTCATGGAGGTCGGACAATTGGTAGACAATGAGAAGAGATGCTTATATACTTCAGCTTCAGACCTTCCCTTGTAGCACAATACTATTATGTCTAAATGTAGCTACTTAAGTACGTCTTTTTTTTTAAACGTTTGCTCACACAACGCTCATGTCTAGAAATAGCTGAAGCAACAAATATTTATCATGTACGCAGTTCACACATAAGTAGTTTCTCCCAAGAGTTGTTACTAAGCTAATGGACAGCAGAAAAAGAGACAGACAAAACATGACATACTTTATTCTTGCTTTCACACATAAGTTCAATGACGTCACTCCTGAGGGTGTCCTTGTTCTTCTCTAGAAAGTGTTGCACCTGGTTAAAGCAAAAATTAATATTTTTATATTCAGTATGCATGGTACAAATGTACATGAATGTGATATTCCAACCACTTTGAGACAGGAGGGACTGTGACACTGTCCCTAGTGCACTCACTGGGCATAAGCTGCAAGCCACATTTTTCTACAGACCTACAGGAGGCTGTTGTTATCTATAGCACCCACAATACCTTTACAACCCACATTTATCAGTAACCTTTTAGATGCAAAAAAGTGGATAAAAAAATTGTTTCATTGAAATTAACATTTAAAATTAAATATAAAATAATAGTGCCTCATAAAGTAAGTGATAAAGAAAACTACAAGGAAAGGTGGCTGGTGTAATACTACAGCACTTAACATGTAGGTTTTGGCCAAGGTAAAATGGCTTTAGCAGGTTTTTGCACAATATACGTGCAAATGCAGGGGTTCTATTTACCTGTTATAACATGAAGATACAAGTAAATGTCTACCGGCTTTGTCTTCTTGCATATGAGTACTCTCTCTCTCTCTCTCTCTCTCATTCTCTATATGTCTGTGATCATTCTTTGAATACAGTTGGTGTATGCATTTGTATCTGTCTCTCTCTCTCTCTCTCTGTGCTTGTGTGCATGCTCGTGTGTGTAGGCAAGCATATTGTGAGCATGTATGTGCGTGTTTTTGAAAAATGGGGAGGAATGGGGGTGAGGGAAAAAAAGAATGTTAACTTTTTCTGCCCCTAGTAGCAAATTGTACTCTGTGTATTCAAGGCAGTTAAAACTCATGTTCATCTGTTGGTGCAAAGGTCTAGGGTTGAAATCTACACTGAGATGGCTTTGTTTCTTCATCTTCTTCTTCTTTATTCACCGGCTGTAAGCTCTAGCAGAAAGTCCTGGCTGTTCGTCCATTTGGACTTTGGCTTTGTGACAGGGTCTGAGTTTTGATTGCACATCAGTTTTATTGGCTTATTTGTGTGCAGCTAGTTGTTTTTTGTCACTCAAGCAGAAGCACTCCACCTTAAAAAGCTCTAAATTTATCAACTCCTATTATATGCTTGTTCGTGAGGAGGCACTGGTTCTGTTTATATTTTCCTTAAAATGGGGCCCTGGAACCCACACAGGGAGATTTGTTTTTTTTTTCAAAACTGACCCTGGCTCCCAGGTTGATTCAGCATAAAATTGGTACCGTGTAATGTCATGGGAAGAAAAGGCAACTGGGAGGGTGGACCATATCATTCACTGAGTAAAATATAGGTCTAGCACTACATACCTGATGTTCCAGAGATATGAAAAGGGTGCTATAATTTTACTTCTTCTTCTTCTCTTCCCCCTTGTACCTCATTGAAGTCTCAGGGGGAGATGTTACATTCGTTGATGAGCTCTGTTAAGAGCACTATTAGGACTGATGTTCATTTCTGTAAGGCTGTTCTTAATGCCATCACTCCATCTTTTCCTAGGTCTTCCGCTCGCTTTATACCCGTTGTAACATTTCAGTGTGGCTGGCTGTGGCAGATAGTACCAGGGCATTCTTGTTAAGAGTCCAAATCACTTCCTTTGTTCTTCTTTGATGACTTGTAAGACTGGCTTTATTCCTAGCATTTGTCTGTTTCTTGATTTCATATCAATTTTACTTACATAGTTAAAACTTCCTGTGATTGAATATTAATGTTTATCAACATGGCATGTGATAATGATGACAATTTATCACTACAGAAATCCACTTACATTGTATCTGATTTTGCCAGCATAGTGGACAATATAAAACTCTGGGTCAGACATCCGTGGCTTGTCATACAGCTCATTCCCTGCATGGTGAAAGTGGCACTTCTCTAGGAATGACTTGTCTGTAGACTAAGACAAACAATATTACATCAGTTAAAAATCTGACAAATTGATTGTGCATCAACAACAACAAAAATGTAATTTACAATATTTCCAGATCAAAGGTCACAAAGCATCTTTATTTTGTAATTTTGTTTTAAAAAATGGTAATTGGTTAATGAAATGTTGATAGTGTAGCACTCCATGCAAACCTTTCAATACTTCATCTTCCTTGAGCAGTATCACAGAAGTGTTGTGGATACTAGTGAAACAATTGTTGCAAAACACTTCAGCTTTACTTCCTTGTAGGTTCCTTCTTGCTGGAACCATCTTAAATCAACTCGAGCACCATAAAAGTGGCTCTGATATTTGGTCTGGCTGGTTCGCCATGCAGATGTACACCTTCTTCCAGAACGTGACAGTTTGTAGGAAGGCACCAAATTTGTTTATATACAACTTATCCACTTTCTAGCTCAAGAAGAGAAATACTGGAACATGTTATAAACTGTCTCTACAGCATGTGTTTATCACCTTGAGGCTGGTGTGGGATGTGGTGTTGTGAGCTTGAGGATATAAGGTCACATGGCTCATGCAGGCACCATGAACTGTACAGGTTAGGATTTATTTTTTTACCAAAGAAGAACAAAATCTTCAGAGAATAGAACCTGGGTCTCAAACCACTTGGCCAACCACTCCTATATGCTACCTGCAAATATTTATGACAGGAAAAAAGGGGGGGGGGGGAGCAAGAGAATATTCTTGATAGCCTTTTGCCATAGCAAGAGAAAGTTTTAGCACATGAACTTATATGGTTAGAGATAGTAAGTTGTGAAGAAGCTTGTTGTTTTTGCCAGCCAATGAGACACTTGATGATGATGATGATGAAACTTGAAAGAATGTCTTTCACAATGCATTCTCTTGTCAGTTAATCCAGCTATGACTCTTGAGAATATAGCTATTCCTCAGATCCATCTGCGCGTGTGCACGCATGCAGGCACTCAGCACACACACACACTCACTCTCTCTCTCTTTCTCTCTCACTCTCTCTCTCTCTCTCTCTCTTGAAATATAAAGATAAAACTAGCCAATGCATGACTGATTGCAGCTGATAATCAACTACTTAAATCTTCTTTACTTAATGAGTTACCTGCGGGAAATTGCATTCATCATCCAAAATATGTAGAATACCAGACGGTTTTGTGGCAATGAGGTCAATGGTAGGCTGGTTATCTTTGAACTCGATGTGCTCCCAGCGAATCTTCTCCTTGGTGTACTCTTTCTGCTCCAGTTGGAAAATGTGTTGGTTAAAGAAGTACTGCAGGGTTTCATTGGCATAGTTGATGCAGAGCTGCTCAAAACTGTTCAGGTGGAAGTCCTGCAGGAAAACAGATTGAGTTAAAGTGTTTTCAGGGTTTGTTTAATTTTTTTCTTATTGTTATTTTTATACAGAAATTATGCCGGCTAAGATAAGGATTCCAGTTTTAAACTCTGGATACGCGTGTAGTTTATATGTTAGATATGGTGGGAAAAGTTTACATGTGAAACTACATATTTGTAGTCAAGGCTATATATTTGTAGTTTCTGCATTGTACAGAGGTGCATGCTTCACTTTAGAGGTCACGGGTGAGGAGCATTGTCTGGATCTTGTCTTCCAGGTATGCAAGTGTGTTGAAAAATGAACAAATGGACAGACTGGCTGGCTCTGCACAACTTGGTGGAATACTGATGCATGATAAGTCAGTCATGGTTAGGGCTTTATGGGAGAATGTGTACAATTTGGAGGAGCAAATGGAACACCACAGCCTGGTGAGAGTGATGCAGCTGAGAGTGACGAGGGGATCTGGCTGATACTCGACGCTCAGAGAAAAGACACGACGGATGTATAGTAAGAATATTACTGACACCACTGGTAATGTGATTTCAGTTCTTGAATCAACTCAACTCAGTCTAGACCAGAGTTCCTCAACTTTTTTAAACCAGCAACCCACTTGACAGCTAACCAAATATGAAACAAAAGCAAATATAGATATCAGTTTACTTGTTAAATCTGGTGTCACAAAATTACAATTTTCAGTTTATGTGACACCTGCTGCTACTAAGAGGTTAAAAATCTGATACATGTGGCCTGAGACTTGTTTCTGATGGATGTAGCCCTACAATAACAACCGTTTCCATTTGGCTTGTTTAATTGACATGTCTGAGAAAGTCTTTTCATATAAATAGGAAGGTGGTAATCCTACAGACTGGAAGAGAGACACCACCTACTCTACCTAGCCACAAGATTAGGCAGAATTAATTTGTTGTCGACCCACCTGGACTCTTTTCACGGCCCACAGGTTTAAAAAACACAGGTTTAGACCAGTGGTTCTCAATTGGCTCAAATCTGTGGACCCTTCTTATTTTCTGACTGACCACTGACCCATCATAGTTATGAACAATTTAATTTATGGACATTAAAACCGCAAGCATGACTGCATTCTTAACTCTCTGAGTCCCAGAGGGTTAAGCATCAAAGGCCCAAGAGGTAGTCAAAAGAGACTAAAATTCGCGCATCATGAGTTCATTGGGCTTCGACGCAGTAACCTATGAATGTATGATGTGTTCCTTGGGACTCAAAGAGTTAAGTTGAGTGTTATTTTATAAATGAAATTATAGGTTATTTAAATTTTTTACTGGGACCTCTGGGAGCTCATGGACCATAAAATTTGAAACACTGGTTATGTAAAAGGCATTACAAATATTGTACATGGATTTCAAAATCAGAAAGCCTACCTGAAAAAAAAAAAAATACTGCTGGCAAAAGTGATTGTGGTATATAGAAGTGTTACAAAAGTACTAAACTTAAATCAGTTTTTTTGTTTGTGTGGGTGTTATCTAAGAAAGATGGACAGTTTCAAATGTGATGGTTCATCAACCAATCAACTGTTGGCACCTTCATATTTTTCCTGATTACAGCATTCTACTGTGCTGGTGGGGGTGGGGGGGGGGGGGCATGGGAATTGCATCCCATGGCAAACCAAAGTCTGGGCAGTACTGTAGTTGCCCCAGCAGCATATTCCCTTTCTCTGTTTTGTTGACTCCAAATGAAAGGTAATATTAATGTGTTTAAAACAAAGCAAGAGCCAGCAGAAGCTGACAGATTGGTAAAGTAGTGCTCTTTCTGCCTGTCAGAGCTTCCCTCCTAGATCAGCTGCCAACCAAGGCTAAGGGCCTAATCTGCTCTGCCATAACATTACATTTTCAGCTTGCATTTCCTCATCCTAGGATAAAGTGAGTAGCCAATCAATAAGTTTTTTAAAAATGTCAGGAAGCTCATTAATCAACTCATTAACCAGTCAACTGACACATCAATAAATTTATCAATCAACTACCAGCTAACTGACACAGAAATTAATTTTCAGTCAACTGGTCAGTTGAACAGTCAGAAATCTGTCATCAAATACTGTGTTAAAAAGTTGAGATATGTCAGCATCCCTGCTACTTCCATAAATACTCAAACTGTCTTGTCTCATTGTGGTCATCACAAAATTGCTTACCTCAAAACCAAAAATGTCTAGGACTGCCAAAGACGTGGATTTATCTCTCTCAGCTCGACATATGATGTAGTTGATCCGCTCCACAAGCCAGGAAAACATGCGGCAGTACAAGGCCTTGGCTACTGCATCTCTGTTGGAGAAAGCATTCTGTGAAACTGGTTCCAGCAAGAAACTCAGTGCTTTCAATAAAGGCTATAAATGAAACTGTAGTGAGGGAGGCACGGTGATATCACTGCCAAATGTTTTGCTGAGTGGCATGAATGATCATGCTTTTCCCCAGTACCATCATGATCCTGTTGTGCCATTATGCTATATAGGGCTTGCAGCTATTCCTCCATTTTGATCTACCCTATGCAATCCTTTCTATATCATGGATGGAATCATATTGAATACCTTTGGCCTCTTTCTTCAACAAATTTTATGGTTTTTCTTGCACATCCATTTACACACAAATGTATTATATTATGCACACAGACATGCTCGCATGCACACAAACACATACATACACACACTTGCAAATATGAAACTAAAAATGGCTCATGCATGACTAACTTCAGCTAACAATCAACTACTTGAATCTTCTTTACTTACCTGGCATCCAATGCCTGATCTAGGTTATAAGGGGATACAACCCTGTCTCCTCTGGCTTCCTGTTATATATTGGAGAAAAATGTGATTCAGTAAGCGCTAAAGTAAAAACATCACAAACACTGGAGAGAATTATATGAGGGACAGTGTGAAGTAATGAGATTCTTGTGGAAATATAAGGGGTTGGTTGGTTGGCACCTTTCCATCCTACCAGACGACTGTGTTCCATTACGCAAAAAGGGGGGTGGGGAAATCACAGCCTAAGACCAAGAGTCTTCAGTGACGAAATGTCCAAGAACAATTAAGCCTAGGGATGAAGTTCCTCCTCTCCACAGCACAAAACCTTGGCAGTATTGTAGAGATTGTGTTGTACATGCAATATGAACCCTGTCGTAGCCTGCTCTGTTAACTCTAAAAAAAAGGTAGCAACAATTCTTTGCATTCATTTTGAGCTGGCCTGACCCGGCATTCAAAACTTTTGACACAAGACATAAGGCGAGACAGCTACTGGGCTACTGTGTCTTTTCAGTCAGTAAGGAGTTAAAGCATACAAAAGCAGAAAAAGCTTTGTATCTAGGTAAAGATGCACTTTGATCACACATGGATATTTCCCTAAGTGCTGCATGCTCCTCACATAGATCCCAGAAAAGGCATCTCTCCATAGTACGGGAATGGATCTAAATATGTGATCTAAATATTGTTTTGCTGTCAGAGTTTCTAATGTTGAAATTTAGTTTGGACTGTTCATCCTGCTTTTTTCACTTACATCTGCCAAGGAATTGTTAACATGCGCACGCACACACACAAAAAACACACACACATACACCTGGATAAACTGCAATGCTTTTTTAAAGTGTCTGAAAAGAGTAGACATGCAACTAATCTCAGAATCAGATGAGAGTATAATGTTTTCTTTCAAATGTTTTTAAAAAATCAACTGACTAATTGAAGAAGCACATTTTTATGAGCTAGAAGCAGACATAATAACCCCCAATCCAAGTCACTCCTTATAGAGATACTATATATCACCGTTAATAATACCGAATTCAAAGAGGATAGAAATGAGAAGACAAAATAAGGACTCACTGTGATTTTGCTTATCAATGCTTGTTTCAACCAGTCATCAGAGAGGTCCAGCAGGAAAGATATCCATTTGATTTCAGCGTCAGATCCTAGCTCCACTATGTCATGGTTGTTGACCTATGAACACAGTGATTGGGCATATATCAGATGATGTAGGAAGAGAAAATTCAAAACATCTCTAAGTTAATAATGGAAATGCAGTATATGTTTATGCTGACATTTAAATAATGTGGACACATATCTTCAATGATCTTCTGTCTCTTTCTTCAACCGTTCTAGTTAAATTGTTGCCTACCTGCATGGATAAAATTAAGCTCTAATACATCTCTCAAGGTATATACAAAATGTGAATGACAACTCAACAGAAATATACAAATATGAATTACAACTCTCCAGGAATGTGTATAAATATGAACGACAACACCCCATTAATTTACAGAAGTGAATTACAACAATCTAGTAATGCAGTTTTTATATTTTTTATAATCATTTAAAGTAATTTTATAAATTTAACTGACAACACTTCAGTAATGTATAAATGTGAATAACAACTCTCCAGTTATATGAACAATAGAATACCGGTAATGTATAGATGTGAATGACAACATTCCAGTAATGTATAAATGAGTTGTTGAGTTGAGTTGAATCAAAAACTGACATCACAGCACTCTGGGCATTCCATAAGAGCTCCGTCCCTATCCTCAGCAGCCAGCGCAGAGTTCCAATAATAATGGTGCCGGTCATAGTCTGGTTGTATGTCATCTTGCCTTTCCTTTAAGTGCAGTGTGCCGGCCGAACCCTCTGGTCACACCCAGGTGCATCATTCTCTCCAGCACATAATAATCATCTAGTTTTTCTTCTGACTTCGTTACTTGTTCCTAAATGGCTCTGACCACATCTACCAGTAATGTATAAATGTGAATAACAACACTTCAGTAATGTATAAATGTGAATGACTACTTTCCAGTAATATACACATGTGAGTGACAATGCTATCTATATATAAAAAAATCAATGTTTGTGTGTTTGTTTGGTCTCTATAGACTCGGAAACTACTGAACCGATTTAGCTGAAATTTTCAGGATATGTTTGTTGTGATACCGGATTTTGAACCGTCGTGGTTTGAAATTCAACCTGTCACTGTTACAGATAGGTGACCACAAATTATGCCAAAATATACGCAACTAATATTTATAACTTTAGTGATTTCTAATTATAGCCTCGTTAGTAATTGCGCATGCGCCGTATTTACCATTCGCCGGCGAGTTACGTGCAGCCAACGCCTTCTCTAATACTAATACATAGAGTAGGTCGTGGTACAGCAAACAAGACTACCTCTATATTTGCCACAATAACCATATTAAACACGATTTCTATTTTCTGTTTTTTTTTTTTCAAACAACCTTCGATGGGGGGGGGGGGGGGGGGGGGGGCAATCGAGGACTATCTCGACGTCAGCGCAGACAGTGACTGCGACATTAACTTCATTAACCGTTAGACACGTGCGATTTCTATTTCATTAATATATCTGGAGTATCTGTCTACGAGAAAACAATTGCCTGCGGTTTTGAATTGTGTTTTAATCGCGACACAGTGGTAGGGACACATATGTCTAATAGTTGTGTTCTCTTTTCGTTGTTCCGATTAAGTGGCTGCTTGGTCGAATGGTTAGAACACTGGGTTCAAGTGCGGCAGACCTGGGTTCGAATCCGCAGTAGTTAAATTTTTTTTTTTACCCCGGACTAAAATAATATCCTCATCTGCTCTGTCGTGGTGACAGCACTAGCCATGTTGCCTTAATATTAAAAAAAACAAAAAACAACAACAAGTAAATGGGTAAACCATTTGATAATTAAATTTTACCATTTCGCATACTTATGATTGCATTGTTAAACTTTCCGATTGCATGGTTACGCTGAAATTTTATAGATTTTCATTTATTTTCATTTAGATTTAGTTATTTCATCTGTGTTGGAATTTTAAGCTGTGCTGTTTACAATAGCGTTCATTTCCTAATTATGGTGTTTTTTTCCTGTGTTCATTTTCTTTTCAAGTGTTTTTTTTTTTTTACTCCCAACTACTTCAATGTGGGAAAGAGTTGTCGGTGAATTTGGGGGGAGGGGGGGGGGGGGGGGGGGCAAACTATTAACTGAGAGAGCTTTAAGTCACAGTAACTGCTTTACCCACTTAAAGTAGCAGCAGCAGTAATAGTTGTGGTTGGGCTGTTACACCATAGTGCTCTCATGTGAAGACCGCCGGTAAGGTTATGGCGTTCTTCTGTCGGCAAGTGAAATTATACATCCTTTGATAACCAAATAATCACTTTTGTTACCGTGCTAATAACACCATTTAAACGACCACTAATTTAAAGACACAATTATATGGTGCGTGTTCTAAAGTTGGAAAACCAAACTATCTATCTATATATATATATATATATATATATATATATATATATATATATATATATATATATATATATATATATATATAATATATATATATATATATATATATATATATATATATATATATATATATATATAATATCAATGTTTATAATGTGTTTGTTTGCCCCCCCCTATAGACTCGGAAACTACTGAACCGATATAGCTGAAATTTTCAGGATATGTTTGTTTTGATACCGGATTTTGAACCATCGTGGTTTGAAATTCAACCTGTCACTGTTAGAGATAGGTGACCACAATTTATGCCATAATATTCGCAACTAATATTTATAACTTTAGTGATTTCTAATTATAGCCACGTTAGTAATTGCGCACGCGCCGCCGTAGTCAGAACGCAAGGCTTCCGCCATTCGCCGGCGAGTTACGTGCAGCCAACGCCTTAATACATAGAGTAGGTCGAGGTACCGCAAACAAGACTATCTCTATATTTGCCACAATAACCATATTAAACACGATTTCTATTTTCTGTTTTTTTTTTTTTTCAAACAACCTTCGATGGGGGGGGGGGGGCAATCAAGGACTACCTCGACGTCGGCGCAGACATTGACTGCGTCATTAACTTCATTAGACAGGTACGATTTTCATTGTCTTTCTTTTCTAAAAACCTTTGATGAGGGAGAGGGTACTAGGTGGATTTAGTTGTGGGGGGGGATCAAAGATTATCTCAAATTACGCCACAGCAACGCGTGGCCGGGTACAGCTAGTAGTAATATAAAAATGTGAATGACAAATCTCCAGTAATTTACAAATGTAAGTGACAACTCCCCAGGAATATACAAGGTGTGAATGACAAACCTCCAGAAATATACAAATGTGAATGACAATTCTCCAGAATTATACACATATGAATGATAATTCTCCAGAATTATACAAGCGTGAATGACAAGATGAAAACTTACATGTATAGCTTTGAAGAAGATGTTGCCAATGTGTAACACAGAAGCCAGTATCTTGATCACTGTCTCCTGTTCCTGTCTGTCAAAGTTGAGAATGTCCATGGCAGCGGTCAGCTTGCGAAAGTTCTCTGCATCATCACGACCAGGGATAAGAGAACTGCCACCCTATAATTCAATAATGGGACAGATGAATATTTGTGTGTGCGGATGCAGAAAAGTAAGTCAAAATCTGTATTTACTATAGGAACCCCCCCCCCAAAAAAAGTGAAATGATTTTATACACATGAAAACAGGTTGGTGTTTGTTGACAAAGACTGGTCACAACACTTGTTTTTGTATAATAGTTGTCATTTGTTTGTTAAGCTTCCTTGTCCTATTTCCCATTTATTTACTTTAACATATAGCAAATCAGGGTTTGGCGGCGTCCGTGGCTAAGGCGTTGCGAGTCTGACTCGTAATCCAACGTACCGCGATCGAAAAACCTGCGTGGGCTGCGTGGATTTTTATCGTGGTATGGGACGTCACAGGGGTCGACCCAGCCTTAAATGGGTACCAGGATGGGCTGTCCTGGGAAAGTAAAGATGGCCGGCGTAATGCTGACCACATTACCACAGAGTGCCGATTGGTCTGAAAAATATGGGTGCTCTTCCCATATGCCCGATGCACCTAAGGGCGTGTAAAGGGATCTTTACTTTACTTTACTTTTTTAAATCAGGGTTTGATGCAGTAAGGTTGTCAATTCCCTTTCTCCCTATCCAATTTTTGGCAGGCACTTTCCCAAAAAATCTTAAAACTATCCAGTATACAGATGTTACAAAGCTGGAATATTACTAGAGCCATGTTAGTTAACGTGAATTAAACGGCTGCCATTATCAAAAATGGACCAAAGATCTTTAACCAACCTAAGTCTTTTGTAGATTTGTTCACAGCTGGGTAAATGAAAACGACATGACCAGTTGACAATGAAAACTTAGCAGATCCATATTCCCAATGCTTCTTCTGCTGCTTCTTCTTCTATAGTCCTGTGCTGCCTTTCAGCATCAGGTTTTGAAGAGACATCAGGTGCGAGCCCTGGTATGTGCTACATAGATGCTGGTTTTTACTGCCTCTGAAATTCCATCTGTCCATCGCTGATGTGGTCCTCTTGGTCTACTTCCATTATATAAAGGTTATGACAATGCACCCACCCATTATATAAAGGTTATGACAATGCACCCATCCATTAAATAAAGGTTATGACATTTCACCCACCCATTATATAAAGGTTATGACAATGCACCCACCCATTATATAAAGGTTATGACAATGCACCCACCCATTATATAAAGGTTATGACAATGCACCCACCCATTATATGAACTGATTTTGAAACACAAAATTACTTTGGTTTGTCTCTGTTACTGTTCCCCAAGCTGAAAATGCATTTGAAAGAGATTCGTTTTGAGTTAGTTAAGATGTATAAACACAATGGCCAAGCTTTTTCTATCAACAGAAGTGTCTTCTTCAACTGATTCCAAGCAGTGAAGAGTGTGCAGGTCTGAGGAGACTAATTTGATTTGGATGTTAGACATCCCAGGTAACTAATTCTTTTTTTTAATGACCATAACATGAAGCTGGGACACTTTTTTAACCTACCTGATTCAGGTAAAAGTACTTAGGTGCTGTTTGTAGACCATATTTTGACTTCTGCTCTTCTGTTAAAGCCTCCAGCATCTCATAAAACACATGATAGTTTCTCTCTTCTGGAGCCTGCAAAAAACAGTTTAAACACCTTTAAGTGATGCAGGACTTAACCTATTTAGTTTAAGTTGTTGTCAGTGATTGTCTTACCCTGAATATGAGCATCCATAACCATGTTAGTAGTAAGGATGCAGCTGTATTTTTAATGTCAACACTAAATACAAGTAGTGAAATCAAAAACTGACAGTCAAAACTGAGGCTGTGCCATTCATAGTCTGTGTCATAAGCTATTAGTTACACAGTAGTGAAATCTAAAGCGCTTATACCCGGCAGAAGAACAGACTTTAGACTTAAATGTCAACTTTACCTTCAGCTTCACTTGAAAGGACAGTGCAGAATACAATGGTTTGGTCATGCATACTGTAAGCCAGTGATTTCCAAACTGTGCACCGTGCAGGCCCAGGGAGCCACGACCTCTTCATAAAGGTGCCGCAAAATATTCGAAGATACACAAGTGTTTTTGTTTCTTTTAAACTCTTACATACGAATAGTCATACTTTTACTCAGGTTAAGGTGTTGTTGAAACAATTATAATTTTTAAAAAAAGGTGCCGCAACTAAGACAAGTTTGAGAAACACTGCTGTAAGCAACATTTTTAAAAACTGTATGGGTAGTTAACAAACAGTAACATAAAACTTGGATGATTGTAGCTACAATTTAAAGAAATGTTTAAGTAAACCTGGAAAATTATGGGGACGGACACAACCTGGGAGGAAAAAGATTTTAAACATAACAAATGCAGATGATACTGTAATGTACTGTAAGGAGTTAACTTGACATCAGTTGGAGGAGACTAATTCAGCGAGCAGAGAAGAAAGAAACCAGCTGTGATGTGTGGAATGATAAACTTAAACAAAATATATAGAAATTCACTTACTAAACAGATGTGTGTGTGTGGTCTGTTTTCCTCTATGGATGCAAAGGCTGGTTTTAATTAGCAAAGAAGATGAGAAGAAAACAGAAACATTGGTGTTGTGGTGTTTAGAAAAAAAATGTTGGAAACATCATGGACAGAGAAGAAAACTAATATGCAAATACAGCCTTTACCTAATCTCTGGTAAAACCCCAAAGAGAAGACAAATGAAACTTATGCACTGAAAAAGCCTAAAGAATGGATGTAGCTAGATATTTCATGTAGTTATGAAAGAGAAAGATGTAGAGTTGAAGCTGTTAAAGCCAAGAATGCTGCCATGGCATAATAAATGTGTTCCCTATCTGATTTATGCTGCGGCATTTAGAAATAATGGCAGATGACAGAGGCCAAAAAAACTGTGTACACAAGAGTTAGTTAAGTGGCCGTAGACCATGAAGCAGACCAAAAGGATGATGGAGAGATAATATTTAGGCAGATCTGTACAGACACTTGGGAGTCAACTGTAAATACAGGGCCAACCACAGAGATGAATAGAGGGGGTGATATCTGCAGCAATGAACCTCACGGGCTTGGAATGCTGAAGAAAAATATTTTATATATTGTGTCAATGGAAACCTGTAAATATAGTTGTAATGATTTGTGATCACAATGATTGTGCACCTGTTTTTGAAATAGTGAGATAACAAAATTGGGGGGGGGGGGGGGGGGGGGGGGGGGAAGGGAGGGGGCCTTCTTCATTTCTCAGCTCCTATCTTCACTCATAGCTTGGTTGTTGCTATTATTCACAGAAGAAGCAGAAAACAAACATGGTTTTACTCAAGCTGAATAAGCCACAGCTACAAGAAGCTCACTGAACTATCGCAATAATGTTTAGGTAATGGTCTGTGACTGAAAAGACATGTATAATGTGTGTTTTTTACAAAATATAAAGTTGGGGGAAAAACTTATTTACTTCTGAATCCATAGAAGGATAGACTAGCCTAGAAAATACAAGTAGCTCATTCTCCCTTTTCTTCTTCTTATTCATGATTAGTTGGAGTTTGAAGTTGAAGATTTGGAACAAACACATTTTTTTTCTTAAAGGGTTAATCATTGGGCATGCAGGCCGTCTAATTATCTCCCATTTTGGTGTCACTCCTTGCTACATTATTTCAGTCATATATCATTTAATAGGTAATAATAAACATTATCAGTGACATCTAAGTCTTAATTAAGACAAACAAATGTGTTCCGACTACACCTACATTTCTAACCAAAAACAGTTCTTACTATAGTAATTATAATGAATCTAAATATTTGACAGGAAATAAAGGGACTGAGTAAGCGCAGACCTCCATCCAAGAGAAATCCTAAAGCGAACATTGAGAGAAGCCAAAGGTGCCAGACTGGATTTGCACAGGACAGAACGGAATGGAGAAATAGACTGCAAGCCCTGTCTGACAAGTAATGGCACAACAGGACAATAAATGAAAATATATAAGAAGAATAAGTGCACTGCAACTCTTTTAAGAACTGGTAACACAGAGGCAGAAGTAATATACTACTGCAAAGATCCAGGGTTTTGATTCCAAATGAAAATATTCCTGGCACAGATCAGAAAATCTAAATAGTGTATGCTAAAACAAAACAGGACTACAATGTACCAACAAATCGCCAGGGCTACAAATAACTCATTTCACAAGCTGGTCTGCCTTAAACACAATGAACAGAAACATTCTTACTTGGGTGACAATTCTGGACTTCTCAAGAAGATACTCTGATAATTTGGCTCCAACGATTGATCCACTGAAAGATGAAAATAATAATGACAGTTGTTATTGAAATATTTAATATAATATTAAAACAGGGTTTTCCTTTTGTTTTTGGATACAAACAATACACTTTCAATTTATTTCCTGGTATATTTTGCTGTATCTCAGGTGCATTACTACAGAATGAATTCAACATATAATGAAACACAACACCTTTTCCCAAACATACACATAGCACATTGTCAAGTCACACCTACATTTCTTGGATGTAAAACTATCAATGTGATCACCATGGTAATTTTCAATTTATCCCATATTCTTTTTGTTTACGCAAAGCAGGAATGCACTTGATGAGATACAGCAAAATATGTCAGGCAATAAACTGTGTTAGGTATTGTTTGTGTCAACATTATTTAAATATAATATTAAATGTGCCACATTTGTCCTATGTATTTAAAAGGTTGCTGAAAGTAGACACATACAACTATAAGACACAGTGATCTTTGGAACACGATTAGAAAAGATATGATGGAGAACATCATGACAGCTAGACAAGTCAAAGGAAGATGATGTTTAATGGTTTGAGATCTTAGCATGAGAGAATATCATCAAAAGGATTTATCTAGAAGACCCAAAAATGAGATCTGTGAAGAAGACCCCAGTACAATATGGTAATTCATGCAAGTGTTGAAAGCTGTGTTGTTCCAAGGAGAGATACATGCCAATTTTGATAGCTATTTTGTTTCAAGTAGAGATACATATAAGTGTTCATCGGCTCTTGTACTGTTTCATGTAGTGATACATGCAACTGTTAATCTTTTGTTCCATGTAATGATACATGCAACTGATAATGATTTGTTCTGTGTAGTGATACCTGCAACTGTTAATCATCTGTTCCATGTAGTGATACATGCAACTGATAATGATTTGTTCTGTGTAGTGATACATGCAACTGTTAATCTTTTGTTGCATGTAGTGATACATGCAACTGATAATGATTTGTTCTGTGTAGTGATACCTGCAACTGTTAATCATCTGTTCCATGTAGTGATACACACAACTGTTAATTATTTATTCTGTGTAGCGATACATGCAACTGTTAATCATTTGTTCCATGTAGTGATATGCAAATGTTCATCAGCTTCTGTGTTGTTCTTAATATTGCTCACTTTATTTGGTTCAGATGGAAGTACCTACCTGGGGTCCATTTGAGAGAGAAATTGGGGTGAGCGGGAAGGAGAGAACAGACCACTGCCCTACAACAAGAATGTTATAAAAGAAAACTAACAGGAGTTTGCAGAAAGTGGATGTGTTGGCCCAAAAGGCTAATATATGGCAACCTAGCTGTAAACCACAATGCAACATGCCAACTATTCCTTTAAGGGTGATCACAAAATAATAATAAGATGGAAGTAACAATTTCCTGATAAACACCACTCTACAAACACAATAATAAGAATCAATCAATCTATGTTTATTAAAGTTGATACAAAAACCACAATGCTAGCTTTACCTTTTGAAGTACACTTCAATGTATTTTCCAAAACGAGAAGAGTTGTCATTGCGTATAGTCTTGGCATTGCCGAAGGATTCCAGCAGGGGATTTGCCTCCAGGATCTGCTCTGTGATAAGGTTGTTGCCTGATCTATTCACAGCTGCCAAGTATTGCATGATAAGTTTGGTGCTCTCTGTCTTCCCAGCACCACTCTCTCCACTAGGAAATACCACAGATAAGAAAATCCTAATGTATAATACATTTCATAATGTTAGAGCACAGCAAAAGTGGAAATTGAAGATGATGATGATGATAATGGCCGCAGCACAAATACTGTATGAGGCTGTTGTTTACATCAATGCTGTATTTACTTTTTGATGACAATAGTTTAGCAAAGAACCAATTCTAAATTGCAGACAAAAACAGCAAATCAAATGGTATGATAATTTAGAAAGAATGCCATGTGACATCACACCATACAAGGCCTACACCAAAAGAGAAGCAGGATGTAGAGCACAAGGTAGACCAAGAACATGGTGAAAAGATAATATCGTAGAAACTACAACAGCATGATGTGTCTATGATCGAGGCAGCCAGAAGAGCAAGAAAAAGAACATTCTATCTCTCTCGACACCTGTAGTGGTAAAAGAGGAAGTGATGAAAAAGAAATAAAATAACAATGGTAATAATTACAACGATAATAATAACAAAACAGTTTTACAGCAGACACTCCTGTTGGGGTATGTCCCTCATGGGTAATTTCTGGGAAATCCACACACACAAATTTGGAGGTAGGGGGTGGGGGGTGGGATGGGGGGTTAATTTATAAATGTTTATAAAATTGAGGCAACTTTATTAATAATAAAGTCTTTTTTTTTCTCTTAGCTGTAAACAACGGTACACAGTACTAACACCATTTTATGTATCTTTTTTTTTACGGCGTTACTGTAATAGACACAGGGTTTCAAAAGCCCTGTTAATAATAATAACAGCAACTGTAATAATAATAATCAATAAAATAGACAAAAGGAACAACAGTAACAGCAAAACCTGAGACAATGACAGCAAAAACATCAAAAATAATGAACAAAGACAAATGGCCCTGTCCAGGCCTACCACTGACCTAATGACCAAAACTTGATTCTCTGTATCTTTTATCATCTTGATGTAAGAAGCACTGCCAATAGCAAACAGATGCCTGGGAAGATAAATCAACAATTTGCAGGAAATGTTAACAGCAACAAATTGTCTTTCGCAGACTTTGTACACATTTACAATATGGAGGAAGACAAGGAAAAAGTTGCTTCCAGAGTTGCTTATCATTTAACCAGCAAAATTAGAAGAAGAAAGAAACATCAGAGGTTTCTAATATAGACCTTCATCACAGTTATTAGTTTTCTGCATATCTTGGCATCTTTTTTTTAAGCTGTCCACTTTCTGTCTATCATGGTACTGTTGACATCCTTCTATAAAACCTGGCATAAACTGATTTTTCTTACTTTCAAGCATTATCAATGACACACCATGGATAACAGCAGTTTAATCCAAAGAACTGTGACTAAAAAGCTCAAAAAAGGGGGAAGGAGAACAACGTGCACAAAACAGACAAATGGATGTTTTGGCTGCAGTCTTTCTCAACATGAACTAACTACACAACAATAACAAAGGGGAAAACAACAGTTTGCATCATCATCAAGTGCCTTGCCATATGGTAACAGCGATCATGCCTCTCCACAGCCTGTGATTTCCAAAAACATTCATTAGCCTGTGTGCTGACATACCTCCATGCCATGACAAAAGGCTGCTAAGAATCTCACACTGTCTTCCTCTGTTTCTCTTTATGCAAATCTTTCCAGTGGTCACAACATGTTACAACTTCCCTCTTCTCACAACATGGCCAAAAACTTATGACCGCCTCCTTCTGATGTTTGGGAAGTTGTCTTTGTGCCCTCAACTCTTTTAAAATCTCAGCTACTCATTTTGAAAGTCCAAGGAATTTCAAGTATTCTTCTGTCTTCATCTTCTTAATTTGCCCTAAAAAAGGTGGTTGGCACACTGTGTTTTGGCTGTTGACAGCTAAGCTGCGATATCTCCTCTTATTGGTCCAACACATCCAGTTTTAGCAGGTTCCTAAGTAGTCCCCTCTTAGATCACGTGTTTTTTTTTTCAGGGAAAATGGATCTACACAAGCTTCATTCCTATAGACTGAGCTCAGAATACCCAGTGCATCAGACTTAAGAGTTAGCACTAAATCTTACATGGGATTTATACTAAATCACCAACCAGAAGGGATGCTACAGAATAGCTAACAACCACTGCCTGGACAAGGCTAATGAAAGTAGTGCATTATAAGCACATATAAGAAAGAGACAACTACATGTCATGAGAACAGAGGCATTAAATAGCATATTTATGACTGGGAATATCATAGGTAGAGAAGAGGCAGAGGTAGGCCACAATAGAAAAAGCTGACACAGATCAAGAAAAATGAGGCTAGATTATTTAAATAAAGGATATAGAAGATGAAAAAATGCCCTGAAACAGAGTTGATCCAGAACATCAAGGTGTGAGAGATGTTAGTATGTACTGAGAAAAAAATGGTATTAGACATGTTTTGTAGACCAACCTACACTGTGCCTGCTATCAAGGTATCTGATGATTATAACACTTTAAAGTTGACATCGATGATGATGAATATTTAGCTAATGCATTTATCTTCAGAGGTAATGACAAACAGCAGATTCACTGAAAGGTAAATTTTAAAAAACTTTCAGTGAATCTGCTGTTTGTCATTACCTCTAAAGATAAATGCATTAGCTAAACAGCAGATTCACTGTGATGACAGACAGCAAACTGTATGACTCATGGAAAAAACACACACAAACATTCCCTTCGTTGAGCTTTCAAGTCATATTTTGTGTTATATTCAGCATTTCTTGCAATCCCCTCAACTGTGGTCACTCCCTATTTATGTCATTACTGTGTATGACTCATCATTCACTTACTCTTCATCTTCACCAGAAACAGCCAAGTTCACCACTGCTGGGCATACCCTAACGGACATTGTTGACTAAAAATAGACAATCCGCATGGTAGCCATGCTGAAAGTATGAGGATCTGAGGCACGGAATAGCATTCTGACAATTGACAGGGAAATGTCAACAGACAGGTGCAAACAGGCTGCAGTCTGGGAGTCAACCTCAACACAATGTCAGTAAGGATGCAAGCAACAACCACAGAATGTTTTCATGTTATTCAAGCAGTAGTAGTAGTAATTTAAACAATATCCTATTCAATCAGTCTGGGTTATATTTGTTATTTATTATATGTTAAGATTTCTATTTCTGTTTTGAACATTGGATATTAATATTATATGTTAAGATTTCTATTTCTGTTTTGAACATTGGATATTAATTTTGCCAGTTACTTTTTAGTTACTTAATACTGCATAGATTCTGTGTCAATAGTAAACGGTTATAGAAGATAGGCTGTTGAGTTTAATATATTCTTAGTGTACTTTTTAAAAGATTATGATAATTATATATCATCTGTCTTTGGAAACATTTACAATGTTCTTGGATACTATTATTTTGTCATACAAGGACCTCATAACCATACACGTGTTTTATTTAGGTACTGTTTAATCTGTCCCTGTAGAAGGAAAGTCTAGTTAAACAAGTACATGAAAAAAATAACTTATCAAGGAACAATATTTAAACTTGTCCTGTGCTGTGATCATATCAAAGTGACAATGAAAATAAAAGAGTCTATACCCATCCTGAGGTGTATTTCACATATGGTTCTCTTGCTAAAATACAGCCACAACAGCTACCAGCACACACACTATACCTAAATAGATCCGATGTGAGAACACGGAGGTCCCCAAGAAGCAGAGAGACCATTGTATGTTCACACAGAATGAAATGGCCAATGCCACCCACTGACTGCTGGAATACAAACTCTTCCTCCACATGATACTTAGTGGCCGATGTTAATTATAATGAATATTTAGTCAATGCATCTATCTTGACTGACAGGTCAAAATAATTAATATGCTATCTAGCAAGGCACATGACTAAGATATTGATTCTTCTTCTATTTTCTTCTTCTGTATTTAACCTTAAAATGATGGTATGCATGCTCTATGTGATTTACAACCAGACTGTGATAGCTGTGTTTTTTTTAATTCCAACACATTTTTCAACTTGTTAAGTTGTAGTAGGTCTTTCCATTTTCCCTCCTAAACTGAAGCCCTGACACTAATTTGATAATTACAGACCATGATGTCAATGAGATCTCCTTCTTCATCGTGTTCTCAGATGTAAATAGCGATCTGGTTATTTATCAACTTCTGTACTCAGGTCTTGTTCCAAAACTTGAGTTTTGCAAGCACATCAGTTTAACATATCTGACTTATTCTGTATACAGAGTGTTAGTTCCTCACCTCCCAGGTAGATGTACTCTGACTTTGAGGGAAACACCCCTAATTAGTTGACTTTTAGAACATGCTTGTTGAGGGGTGAAGGAGGAAAAAAAAAAGGGGGGGGGGGGTAATGAGTCTATTCTCTCCTCCCAAAATGGAGCCTTGGAAACTACATGGAATATCAGCAAGGTGATGGCCTATGATCATAAATCTACTTACGGAGGCAGGCTGCCCAGTGGCTGACCCTCGTATCGCTTGACCATGTCCAAGCCATAGATGTTAAACATCTTGTATGGGTTGACAGCAACCAGGATGCTGCCTGTATATGTCTGAAACATTCATTGTTAATGTCATTAAACACTGCTGCCTGTTGCCTGAATTATTTATCTGATTCAAGACATAGCTGACAAAGGGTATCATCATTATATTTGACAAACGAATAGTATTTCTTCTACATATTCACTTCCTTCTTTATTTCCTCCTCTTCCTTCTCCTTCACCTCCTTTCTTTTCTGCAATTTTTATTTTATTTTTTTCCTCTCCATCTCCCACCTTCTTTTTTGTTCTTTCTTTCTATTCTGTTTTTGTTCTTGTAATCGTTTAAATACATAATTTGTTCCTGTCTTCCTTCCTTCTTTTCTTATATCCCGCACCCCCTTTTATTTTCCACCCCCATTTTCTTCTTTCTTTCCTTTTTAATCTTTACTTAATCTATCTTTCCGTTCCTCTTCTTATTCTTCCTTCCATAATTTATTTACTCTTTTGTTTATTACGTCTCATCCTTACTTTACCTCCTTTTTTCCATTGCTTCTTCAGTCTTCATCTTTCATTACTTCTTTTTATTTCATTCTTCCTTTCTCTCTCTCTCTTTAATCTTCATCTTATTTGTCATATTCTATCCCACTTTTTGTACACATCTTCTTCCCCCCACTAACTGTGTATAGTAAAGTATACTCTCTCTCTATCTCTCTCTCTCTCTCTCTCTCTCTCTCTCTCTCTCTCTCTCTCTCTCTCTCTTATCCCTTTTCACGCCTTTAGGGGCATCAGGTATATGGGAAGAGAACCCATATCTTTCTACTTTATTAAAATACCTTCAAGTTACCAGGTGATCATTAGCAAGCATCTTTAGAGGAAACTCATTAGCAAACATGAACTTGGCCTTGGCTACATGTTTGAAATCTGGCGGTGGCGCTATTGTTGTTACTGGTAATAGACGTGTCTAGAGGCGAGGCCATTTGTGTTTATGTAGCCACTAGCGTTCGCTCCAAACAGTGGCATGCAGTGCGTTACATTAGCGTGTCTACGCGCGTGCGTGAGTGTCTGTGTACGACAGAGAGATGTGAAGTCAGTCTTTGAATTATGCTCTGCGCTTTGAACATACACTTGTAAGAATACGAGCTTCAGTAAATCAATCAGGTATTGTCTCTACGCCGACTGTTAGTTGTAATGGATAGCCAACACATCCTGATGCTGCACACTTTCTCTGACTGCTAGTGGCCAATCTCTTGATACTATTCTACCTCTTGTGTCGTTATCTACCTCTTGCTTTCTTGCCTTCGACTTTTCCCCTCCAGCAGCTGTGAAAGGTATATATAAATAAGAAATATCTTCCCCCAAAAATGTATCATTAAGTAGACATGAACACTCTTAGACTTCTCATGTGGGTCCCGGAAGCCATTGCACTATCAACTGCTTTCCAAAGACCAAATCAACTGAACAAATTATTGGGTGGGACAAAGAACTACAAAAATTAGATTTCTAAGAGCATCTCTCCTGTTGCAACATACTCCTGTGAGACCTGGACATTTACTAAATTAGCTGAACAGCGCATAAAAGCCTTTAATTTAAAATGTTACAGACGGGTTCTAAGAATATCATCGGTAAAGAAAAGAACAAATTCATCCATACTTCAAGAACTGAACACTGAAGAAGGTTGACTATTAAAGATGATAAAACACACAAAATGTAAATATTTTGGTCACATGAAACGTCACGAAAGTTTAGAGAGAACAAGAATGGAGAGGTACAAGCATGGGAAGGAAGAAGAGGCAGACCCAAAAAAATATGGGTGCAGGATGTGTGAATCGGACGCTGTTATGGGTGCAAGGTTCTGCAAAGGACATGCTACTGACTGAGTAGAGCCATTTTGGGGCAAACAAGAATAGAGCCAGCCACCCCCCCCCCCCAAGCATGTCGTAGGAAAGGTGCATTCTTCGAAGTCGAAGTACAAAACAGAAGATACTCTTGAACTAGTTGGACTTTGCGCAGGTATGCAAGATAGGAAGACATCAAGTGTTATGAAAAAGGGGATAAAGCTTCATTAAAACTCCTTATCAGTCGCATGTCTCAAAACTTTTCAGAAATAAATTCGCGGGCACTGATTGGCACTCGTAGAAAAAAAAAGAAGAAGAGAAGTGCCCAGTGGAGGATGCACTAAAGATTATAAACACTGAAAGCTATAGTAGCGATATTTGAAATAGAAACTGTAGCCTCTAAATTACGATATCGTTTCGTTCATGAAATTTATGCCCCTCGCGTTAAACCACTAACATGTATAGTAGAAAATTTTTATAACAATAATTTTAGTTATGATTACAGCCCTCCGATCCACAGACGAGCGTCTCGCTGCTACATTACGGCGGCTCCCTTGAGTGTTTGTTGTGTATCCATACACACATGTGTGTATGCAGACACGTATACATGCATTCCCACGCTGGCGTGCACGCGTGTGTGTATATAATATAACAGATGTGTGTGTGCAAACACACGTGGGCGTGCGGACGTGTATGTTATGTACATATATGTAATTGTATATGTATGTCTATATATCAGTGCATACCTGCCCCTCCCCAACAACGCTCACTAGGTACTAGAGTACCGGTCCAAACCACTAGTTTTGGTTCAATTAGCACGTCTCAGCTAACAGCTAACTGACACAAAGAAACCAGACCACAACTATAACCGATACTGCTTGCAGTAGTTTCAATGTGGTCGTCTCCCCGCCCGCCCCCCCCCCCCCCCCCCGATAAATGTATCGATGGATGGAAAAACTTAACACTTCTGTCTGTCCGTGCTGTAATTTCAGCTATTATAGTGTTAACATATTTAGGGAGAATACTTTCTCATACTTCTCTCTCTCTCTCTCTCTCTCTCCTAACCTTCATCACCCCCCCCCCCCTTTCCCCCATCTCTTTCTCTCTCTCTTTCTCTCTCTCTCTCTCTCTCCTCTGTGTTAACATATCTTTCTTTTTATCATATTTTCGCTTTTTCTCTCTCTCTCTCTTACTGCCTCTCTCTCTCTCTCTCTCTCTCTCTCTCTCTCTCTCTCTCTCTCTCTCTCTCTCTCTCTCCTTCTCCATTTTACTCTGTTTTTATCTTGTCGTGTCATTTATAATTTGACTCTTTCACTCTTTTCATACACCCTTCCTCCTTTCCTCCCCCCCCCCCTCTCTCTCTCTCTCTCTCTCTCTCTCTCTTTCTCTCTCACTCTCCTTTGCTCATATAATAGTTCTCTTCTACCAAGCTGCACCCACACACCCCCACCCACCCTTTTTTTTCTTTTCACAAAACATAGAAGCAAGAAGTAGCTGTTTATATTTAGTCATGTGCCATAACATAACAATGTCACCTGAAAGCCCAGATTACACAGGTTATAGACCGACAAGTTCAGTTAGCAACAAATAACTCCATAAGAAATGTGGATAATTCAGGGTAATGTAACCCAGGATCAAATAACAAGCGTCGGCTGTCAACCAGGAAGCTTCTATATATAGTCACGAATGTTTATATTTTATTATCGAAGAATGGTATACCCATCCACACTAGACTACAGGTTACTTCGTAACCGTAGCATGCCCCAATTTAACTGTTGTATGGTCTAACTGTCGGCTCTGTGGCTAAGTCGATGGGAACGCTTCGTAATGCCGGGATGCCGGGTTCGATCCCAGCTGTGGGCCATGCGCCTTGCGTTGGTTTCGATAGTGGTATCAAGAAAGCCGACCGTCCAGAGGCAATGGAAAACTACCGGACGTAAATTTGCCTAAAAAAAACCACACTGTTGAGGTTGGTTCTGCAACGTCCTTTAAAGGTCCAACTGGGTTGACAGGATTTGCACCTGTCTGATTCTGCGACTGTATGTAAATGGAAAAGGGAGGACAGGGCGTTGAGAGAAATCGATATAGAGATATTTACACAGTATAATACGGACAGTAATAATTGGTTTCCCCACCGTCTGCCCCCCCCCCCCCCTCGGGTCTCCATTGTGGTGAAAACAAGAACAGGTTCACTGCCTCCCAACAGGCATAACGTAAGAATCGACTCAATGTTGAATTCCTTTGAAGTGGAGTACATCTGCCTGAGAGGCAAGGAAGCGGCAGTCTACATACGAATAATACAAATAAGTAAAACGGATATGCATGCAACACTCAGATTCTATGAAGAAGAAGAAGAAGAAGAAGAAGAAGAAGAAGAAGAAGACCGCCGCCTTGAACAGCCGAGTTACTATCGTACTGGGTCGAGATGTTCAGGGACTTGAGCTTTGTATGCACATTCCTTTTACAGATCTGGCTTATTTGTGTGCAGGTTGTTGGTTCCGTGCCTATCAGGCAGATGCATAACGACTTTTAGGCTCTCGGCTAGGATTCTGCTTCTAAGATGTCTACAAGGTGGTTTAGATAGTCTTTGACCAGCATGAACCCTGGTCCAGGGGCACAATCGGTGTGGTTCAGCGCAACAAATAAGTACCAGTTGAAGTTCTGGAAAGTAAAGGCGGCCGACATGGTGTTGATCACATTACCGGTCTATAGAAATACGTGTCTAGCCTCATATGCCCGATGCGCCACTGAAGTATAAAGATATCTTTACTTTTTACTTTACTGGATAGAAATAAAGGTAAAGGTAATGGTTGGTATTACTGACTGGCAGGAATCTTGGGTAGTGCTGTTTTAAGGAATGGTGGGTAGTAGTGTTTAACAATTTAGTCAATTTACGAGGCAGAGAAATTTATAATCTGTCTCATTCACCACTAATTATTGGCATTATGAGGGCTAATCGACTACAATGCTTGGTGCATACAGGGGGAATGGTTGGTGCATTCAGGGGGGAATGGTTGGTGCATACAGGGGGAATGGTTGGTGCATACAGGGGGACTGGTTGGTGCATACAGGAATGGTTGGTGCATACAGGGGGAATGGTTGGTGCATACAGGGGGACTGGTTGGTGCATACAGGGGAATGATTGGTGCATACATGGGGAATGGTTGGTGCATACAGGGGGACTGGTTGATGCATACAGGAATGGTTGGTACATACAGGGTAATGGTTGGTGCATAAAGGGGGAATGGTTGGTGCATACAGGGGGAATGGTTGGTGCATACAGGGGGAATGGCTGGTGCATAAAGGGGTTATGGTTGACAACATAAAGACAAAAAATGTGTACACAAAGAGTTATAGGGAAGCAGACAACACAAGAAGACCGCGAGGGAAAGAAAATATACGCAGACATATTAACACTTGGCAACCATTATGAAAAAAAAGGAGGTCTCACAAATAAAAGGAGGCGGGTCATATCTGTAGCAATGAACCTCAAGTGCTAAGAATGTTGAAGAAGAAGGGAACAGGCGAATGAACTACACTTTATTTCCCCGGAGGGCCATAATGCGAGCTGCAAAAGACCTAAGACATATATATTTAAAGTAAATTCAATCATATCTTTTCTCTTTCTATTCTCCGCAGTGTCATGTGTTCAAATTCGCCAAGGCTGATTCATATCTATTCATAGCTAGGCTCCTAAAGTTAATAGCAGCATGTGGAATGCAAATGTAATCGATCTGCTGACATAGAAAATACAAAAAACATTTACAAATGTGCAGCATTCTACGATGCGTATTACTGAATGGAACACAGTTTACACACTGGTTTAGGAATGTGCCAGTATGGGGCTGGCTTATACTCCTTCTGGCATATTTCGGTTCTTAATTCAACATTCAAGGCTGACTCTAGCGGAAAAGTATAAACGACTGAGACATTACAGGCCGCTGGTTCAATAGCTGGATGGGGGAGGGGGGGGGGGGGGGCTTTTATGCAAGATACTCGGGTTCGATTCTCAGTTATGGAATTTTTTTTTTTTTAACCAAGCAACAACCAAAAAAAAAACACACAAACACACACAAAAGATCAAACTGCACAGTACGTTGCGACTGCACTAGTCGTGCAGTCATAAAACCTCAGTCACCACCTTCCTGTCCCACACCACCCCGAAAGTTGTAAACAAAAGAAATAAAGATAAAAGAACAGAAGCAGTCAAGACAAAAGAACAGAAGACAGTAACGTCCAGGCTTAGTACACACTGCCCCGAAAGTGGTAAACAGAAGCAGTAAAGA